TAAATATATCTCCCAAGTATTTGGGATGGACAGCTTGAATCAACACCTTGCAATAGCAGATTGTTAATTTCAGTATTTGCAAAGATGGTGATTTTTGTTTTGTTTAAAAATCCGCAGTTATTGTAAGATTCTTCTTTATTTCTTTTTTATTTTTAAAAAGGCCTGAGTAAAAAGTTCCACTCTGGGACTTGTATCAGATTCTCTCTGAAGCAGAATTCAACCTCTTCATTAATAAAATTCTTCAAGGCAATTCTTTCACATGGGGGGAACAATCATGCCAGATATAGCTGTCAGAAGGAAAGGGGAAAAGGGGGGGAGGGAAGAGAGAGAAAGAGAAAGAGAGGGAGGGGGGAGAAGTTACTTTTGTGAATTATCAAGCAACTTTTAAAATATTCAGAGCTTTTAAACATCTACTAGCAACATACTCAGCTGTACTGTGAATTAAATTTATGTATAAAGTGTCATCTAGCAGAGACAACCATGTACACAGTAATCATGGGGAGCCACATTCTGATTGGAAAGTGGTTTAAACTGCAAGGGTCTCTGCTGAAATTAGGGATTTTGTTGCAGAAAACGAGCACCTCCCTTATACCAGAGTAAGACTCTCATTTAATTTTCTGGTTTTACTTTCAAAATCTCAAAATTCTTAGGAGGCTTAAACCTGGCCCAGCCATTGCCACACTTTCCGTTAGTCGTTTAAAAGCAAAGCAGATACTTGCTTCACGTAGGAGAAAATGGCTGGGGTCCCACAGGCCAGCAACACTCCAGACCTGGCAGGGTCTCTATTGCATTTGGCATGCTAAGAGGGCTTCATCCTCCTATACCAGTTTTCTCTTACGAGTTCAGTGCTCCATCCTGGGACTTATGTATGTATTTCCAGGGGTTTAGAAAACGACTTCAAACTCTCAAATCCAATTCCCAAATTGAAATATGTCCTTGACTGATGGTTTAGCAGACCAGCGCCTCATGGTGTTATTATGCTTGTAGCAGGCTTCACCCACTACATTGAGTTACACATTAATGTTCAGGGTAGAATGTCTTCACTTTTGTTGGCTAAATTGAATCATCAGTATTTTTTTATTACGCTTCCTAACCTCAGTTTCTATGAAACCACCACCTCTCTTAAAGAGGAGACATTCATTAAAAGTCAACAGGTAGAGTCTTCCACCTAGCCTGACCTCCAGCTTGGTCTATTTACCAGAGACACTACGGAGATCAGCAAGTGTCCAAATGATATACTGTGAGCAAGCACATCATTACAGGAGGTAGTCACACAAGTTTATGATGAAAGCTGTAACAACAATGCATCTTTAAAATACCAGTTGTACGGTTATTTGCGAAAAGGTAGAGAACAGATTCACCTTCAGGTTGGTGCCACTTCACAGGGACATTATTTAAATGCTAGAACTGCCTGCCATCTCAAGACATCTGGACATGTAATTTCTTAAGGAAGAACTCAACCCTGTGACTGGTGCTGATTCATTGTGCTTTAATTACAGCTGCAATTATTTGATAAGAACAGAGCCAAAGTAAAAGACTCACAGATTTGGGGTTGGAGGGGGAGAGGAGGGAAATGTTTTCTCCACAAACACCACCATATGTGCGAGAATTACAAGTCTAATCAGCCAGGGGAGAACGGCTCGAGTAAACTGCGCTGATTAAATGAAATAAAATGAAAGGAGAAGGCGAGAATGCAAAACACACCCACAGGTTTGCAACAGGCCATCCTCAGAGGTGACATGTTGCAACTATTCAGCAGCATTTCAACTCTTCGAATTTATCATTCAGCAATGGTGTTACGTGGCACCACTGTGCTGATTGTTTCCACTCCACATAAGGGCTCTTCAAGGAGCCAAGAACAAGGATAAAAAGGACAGACAGGTGAGTTAGGTTGCTTTAAGCCCTACAGGAAGATGCTCAAGTGAGTAGCATAGAGGACACCACTGTGTCTTAGATGTTCCTTGCTGAGGTATTTCCTGTCATGGTCTTTTTTGGCTCCACCATGGAGATAATCTGAGAATGCATTTTCACATTATCTCCATAGCAATGCTGTCTCCTTCATCTCAAATCACAGGATGAATTCAATATTGTCTTTTTTTTTTTTTAGAATCCTTGCTGATTTAATCAACGCTGGATGAAAAGACAGCAGCTTTGTTAGAAAAAAAATTGTCAAATGAGTTTTATTTCAGCAGTGTCTCAAATAACAAGTTCTGAATCCTCACACCTGGGGCTGTCCACTCGGTACATGTGACTGAAAATGAACCAAGCCCAAGCCAAGCAATGTTCTCACTGTTGTGGTTGCTCCCTGCTCTGTTCTTGGGATCCTTACATGTGGGCCAGGTAATGGACCCTGAACCATGGACCCCTATGGCATCAATGAAATGGTATTGACAGTGGTGGATACAGTCAACCAGACTGTAATTCTGCTGTGGCAGCCCTACAGTGCAGCCACCTACAGGTAAGGGCAGAAGTGTGATTCTCCATAGGGCAATATATGAAAGACTCACATGGGCATGGACATGAGACAGGTTTTGTCCCAGTTCTCCTTCTAGCTTGTAGTATTACAACAAGTAATTTGATTTTTTTTTCTCTTTCTTACCTAAGGATAACAATTTTTATCCCTGTAAGTAAAGCACTTGGAGATTTCTGGATGGCAGTTGTTTAGCAGAATACAGGGGTGGGACTGCAAGGCTTGGACATCAGTGAGCACAAGGAAGAGCAATACTGACAACAGCTCTCCCTCCTTTACTGCTCAGATAAGCAAGATGTTGAGCAGATGAAAATGAGTAGTCTTCCTACATGCGATGAGTGCAACTGAGCAGAATACTGCCTTTTGTCCTTTTTGGCCCTTTCTAAATTCTAAATTTGGTGAAACTTCAAAACAAGACTTTGTTTTGCATTAGAAAAATTGGTATACTTCAGAAAACGTCAATTCTTATTCAAACAAAAAATTCTCAAGCTAAACGATTCATCAAAACCAAATCAATTTCACCGAAAAGGGGTCAAAAATTGCCTTTCTTAGGACAGCACAGCTGCCTACCCTGGGTAAAAGCCCAAAGGCGACACAATTGCAACTCCTCCCTTTATGGCTTAGACATTTCCCTGTAGTTTTGTATCAGCCACGCACCTTTTGCCACTGGAAACAAACGGTACAGATGCAGATCTTAGCTCATTTTTTCAAAGCATTATTGCTTTTGAAGAGCTCTGAAATTCTGAATTAAATTACAAGGCAAATGGCAAATGATATCTTTTCTGCCTAAAAGCTTTGATATTTCCATTCTTTCCAAGTCTTCATTTATATCACTCTACTTTTATTCCATAAGTGCTACATCTAGTCATGCAAATTCTCTCAGCTGTAGCACGTTATTGATCCTGAAAACAGAGATACCAGTGGGAAACAGTGTAGGTATGAGATCACACCACCAAAAAGGGAGGGCTGAGAGTAGAAAAACTCCCACCAATGGGCCTTTTTTTCTTCTATCATATACTAATTTGTATTTGCTGCTGGCAAATTACAGAAGTAATGTATTTTGAGTTTTACAAAATTGCATGGCAAAGAGAACAACAGATAAGCCTAGCTGTTGTTTTAGTGAGTTCTGCTGATATCTAAGCTACATAAGGAAAGCTTGATTGCTTTCTGATGTATCCAGAAGCCCAGGAGAGATAAGACAGCCTCCTTATACATGGTTGTTTATTTAAGCAATAAGGCACTACAGGCAGTGCATTTCTGAGTGATTATTACAAGCCTCAGGTGGTGTCAGAAGGCATGGGACTGCAGGCTGTGTGTCTTTAACTCGCCAAGAAGTTCAGTGACGACCTAGAAATGAACCACCTCTTGGTGTCTCATTCCTATTATGAAAACTGAATTGCTAAATAAAAATTAGGGAAACATTCTGTGTGGTTTCTGGGTATTCTAGATCTAGATGTGGCGCAATGAGGACGCAATCAGCAAGCCCCAGTTGTGTCCAGTACTCTCAGCTTGTTCTGTAATTGCTTTCCATAACTCAGTATGTGGAACCTGAAATTTCTGTGTCTTCTGGAAGGGAAAACAGTGCCTGAAAAAGCTTTCTCCTGTTAGCTGCTTTTTCTCTCCACTTGCAACAGCAAGCTGGGACAAGGTGAAGAGAAGAAAAGAGCATAAACATGTTCAAAAGCTTCTAGCAGTCAATTCTTAGCTTCTTTTTTAATTCAGAAGTGAAACATTTTTAGCTGTTGCCTTTAAAAATTGTGGTATGTCAACAGCACGAAAATCTTAAAACATGCAAAAATTAATCTTCTAAACACTACAGCTCATCTGAAAATTTTGTTGTGTTTTATTCCTGACACAGTCTGTATTTACAACAAAGTCCTGACTGAAGGTATCCAGGTTCTGCTTGTATTTTCCTAGTATTTTCAGAATTGCTGTGTGCATGTGTGTAAATCTGTGAGGATTCCTCCTTCCGATCCACCAGTGTAAAATGCACTGAGGACAATGTTTTCCTTCAATCACAATAGATCCCAGCTTTTATGAATGAATTCCTTCCACTCTGTCTGCATATGGATTTTTTGGGGCTGTTAATGGTGCTATCAGCATTATGCCCGCAAGCTCTGCATCTCTCTTTCCAGAGGCTGCAGAGTGACATGTGGAGTCTGTGGCACTATCCTCCCCCACTCCGCACAGCTCCCTCTGAACACGGCTTTAAAAATGATGGATTTTATTCCCTGCTCGATGCTCTTTGGATAATTTGCACAGACACGTGGAAAGGAAAACAGACCTCAGGTCTAGGGGAAGCACGGCGCGTACCGCACAATCTTTCCCACCTCTGGCACGGATGGAGGCAGCTGGCTGCATCTGCTTATGGAAACTCCTCGCTCTAAGCAAGCATGAAAATGTCTCTCTCAGCACACTAATGCGTGGTGAGGTAATTACACAGGAAGGTTTAGGCACAGTGTTGTAAAACAGGCTGAGCCAAACAATGAAATGGGCAGTGCTGGGCTTTGAAGCGTCCTCAGCTTGACAAGCTTTTGTCTGTCACTCCCTCAGCTTACATCAACGCTCCGAAACGTATTTAGGTGCTAATGCTGGAATACTTTGTAATGAGAGGGGAAGGGATGCAGAAAAGGAGCAGCCCCTTGATACCAACAGTTGAAGAGGCTCTCAAAAAGGCCCTGTGCCATTTATGGAATTAATTGGCACAGAAGTACACGAATCTGTGGAAACTAATGTTTGTGCTGATGTAAGTTAAACTGGAAAATGCTGCTGTTAATTTGTAATGCGCCTTCTATTGATGAAAGGCAAAGGTTTGTGCCAAGCTCTGTAACGGTCTATTTGCTCTCAGTAGGATTTCTGCACAAGTGTACTATGACAAAGGAAAAAAAGGAAGGGAAGATTGAGTGACGTACTTCAGGAGAAGGCCAGCCCCTGGAGAGACCCTGCAGTGGAGTACTTGCTAGAGTCCACAAAAGACTGGTCTGATAAAGGACGACAACAGGGAATAAGAGAGGAAAGAAAGAAAAAGGATGGTGTTAGTAAGCTGAAATATTACTTGTTTTTATCATAATAGTAGGTCCGTGCTTTAAAAACACAGCCTCTCAATTCAGCAGTATTAGTTGAGTTAGAGACAGGGTGGTTGCCAAACATCTGCATGGTACTAGGTGGGCTGGTAGTGAAGTCCAGTTACTCTTAACAGGAGGAAACTTTAGGACAGAGACCACCAGGGATCCCCCATTGTCTTCTATCCCCTTTGACAACTCAGAGTCTCTTAGAGCCTCACAAGGCACTAGGAACTCACAGTTTTGAGAGCAGTCATCTATGCTCTAGATTTGATTTCACCTACCTTGCAGGCTATTGCCATTGGTGCTGGTGCAGGTGGGAGGAGGAGAAGTTTGTGGTCTAACGACAGGCGCGAAAGCACTCTTCTGTTTCACCGCTGAGACCATGTTGGCTGGTGAGAAGGAGAAAATCCCAGAGGAACTGCTACAGTTTGAGGGGAGACTAGTGGAGGAGGCCATTGTCGGACTTGATGGCACAACTAGAGGAAAAAAAAAAAGACCCCCCAAAGGCATTCCTTAGTATTAGATAATCAGCAGGCTTCAGAAACAAGAGAATTCTGCTTCTTGGAAACACTGGGTCTAATTTCAAACGGCCAAGGCCTTTACTGCAGTTAGATTTCTGGTTGTTCACCAAGTGTGATTGACTACTACAGGAAACTCCCTTGTTCTCTCTTGTTTTTGTTCAGGAGCAGTAACTCTAGGAGCAGTCCCTTAATTCTCTGTCACTGCAATTCTTTACTCTTACAACAACCTGTCCTGCCACTTTGTTTCAAACTTATGAGGTGATTTGCATTAGCCACTGCTCTGGTCCAAATCTGTAATATTTTTATGTAGGTGAATGTCCCTGGGTAAGAGAGAATCCAGACTGTGTAGGTAACTAGCTCAGGGGTTACAAAACTGATGGGCAAGGAAAATGGTTAAAGTAATAATCTGGACCCAAAATTTTTAACTTGGAAAGGTCTGAGTTTTTAACTGGCCTCCAAAACTAGCACTTTAAGCCATGCTTTCTTTGCAGCAAGTTGGGTCCAGAAAAACCTATTGGTTTTCAGGCAAACTTGAAGAAGGCAGAGAGGTCTTAGTGGTGACTCAGTCAACCTGCTTGTCAAAAGCCAGCAAAAAAGAAAAAAGAACTGTGTCTCTTTTCTCTCTCAAAACCTGCAAGAACTAGGGTTTAAAAGGAGTTATTCCAAAAGCTGTGACCTGTGGATATCTATATACAGACACACACACATATACACACACACACACACATGTCCAGCATGAAGCAGCCAGTAACATGGCCACTCTGACAGTTTTTCACTCCTTTGGTCTCCTGGTGCTAGTGTTTTCACTGTCTGCTGCACAAAAAAGTGTGTGGATAACTGACAGAAATCATGCTTTTCTTTTATCTCCCAATGGGAGAAACCACTAAACCTTTCTCACAATGGCCACAAATGCTTTACGTGTTTTAACTACTAATACCAAGTCAGCCTCCAGCTTCCCTGTATCTATCAGTTTGGGGAAAGTTTTTGCTGTGAGGACTTCCCAGGAATTATCAGTGACATGAAAAACAGTCCTATTTCTCACGTGACCATTTTATTTATGCACAGGAATGGAGATGGTATTTCATATCTCACCCAAGACGGAGAATTTTGAAAATAGAAGTCTCTTTTATAATGGTCAAGATAAATAGTTCTCCCAGAGGATCTATGACCACTGTCTGAACACAGTCAATACAACATTCTCATTCAGAGCCATCGACTGAAATCTCAGCTGGAATAGCTAAGCAATGAAGCCATTCTGGCATATATCAGGTGAAAGCCTGGTTTTAACTACAAAACTGAAAAAATGACAGTCTTCAGTTCTTCTAAATAAGTGTAGAAATAAGGCTCTCTGTTTTTTATAGGGACTGAGTTGATTGTCCAAAATGCAAATGTGCTATATAGGACGTTCAGTTTTTACATATATATATCTCCTTAAACTGTTATTTTACTATATAGCAGGATAAGTATCTGTGATTCATGTAATTATCACTGAGGTTTTAAGTGAATTTGTTTTCCTGAAAACAAAGTCAACTTTTATATTCAGCCAAGATTGCCAGTTCCCCCTTCTATCAAACGAAAAAAAAAAGAGGAGGAAAGGACCAATAGTAAGATCCCATACTTTCATTCTTTGTCCTGTTTAGAAACTGTTTACATAAATGAGGGGGCTATGAATAATTATATATTATACAATAAAATTCCTATCATCTGGGCTTTGAATTATTATTTTATTTGCATTTATGTAGATAAAAATCACCCTATTTAAGTTCTTATTTGAGAATCTCGTATCATATTTGTTAACACTGAGGAAATCAATTAATGGAAATTAAATGTTCAAAGTTTCACAGTCTGACAGATACAATCTTAGTCTGAAGTCACTCTATGTCTGGAAGTACTTGCTAAGGGAGAGCAATCAAAGCACCTAAATTGAATTGCTACTATACAGCAATTAGTTTATTGATTTAATTAAGAATGCCACCTTTTAATTTTCAGGTCATGATTGAAGCATTTTCTGATTCAATGGATTAGGCATTAGCAGAATGACAGCTCCACCAAGAAAACCTCCCAAAATATAACTAGAATAGAGAACAGGGCTGGAAAGTGAAGTGCTATTCTAAAGAGGACTTCGTTCATAAATATGAAATAATCGTCTGCTAGAGTATTTTAAATGCATTACTGGCATCTGCTTCCAAAAAGAGATGTCTCATCAATCATGTTGTATTATGAATTCAGAGTGCACAGATTCTATGACAGCAAATTCAACTTAATAAGTAAGGTACTTTGTAACATTACATGTTACATTACTATTAGAGTACAAAAATAATAACTGGTTAGCAATTCCCAGGTTATAAGTACTAGTTATGTGGGTAAATATTTTCTTCTCTATTTACAGTAGCTTAGAAGTCTTGAAAGGTAATTCTTAAAGTTAGGGTACTACCCCCTTTCTAATTCTGAATTCTTGAGATGTAATTCAAAATAATACATTAGTGCTCTTACATAACTAAAGTTAAGATTTGCTGCATAAACCATGGATGTTCAGCAGTCTCTTTGTTCTGTCCACGCTAGGGTCTCAGCCTATAAACCTGTTTATGTGCCAAGACCTTCTGGCCTGTTTCTGCTAGCAGCTTTCTACAGATGCCAGTGGAATCCTTTATACCACATGAGTAACAACAGAGGAATTGGGCAGATCTTATTCATTTAATTTTCTTGTGTGAATAGGGACTACTGAGCTGTGTGAGCAGCTGCAGAAGAGGTTCATAGGTTTTTACAAATAGAATCTTATTTATATTTAAACAGGTTACTAAACATTTAATATCAAAATGCAGAAAGTTAGTCCTACACATCAGTATTTCCATAACTGGCACTGCAGACCGTAAGCTCTTTATGCCATGGAATATATGATTTCTATGACTTACATCTTTGTGGCGTTCGCTGTACAGACACTGAGACACAAACTCTAAGAGCCACTGTCACATTTTACTCATTAATACTAAGCTCCCAGTGAAGTCAATATAATACCTACTTAAAAAGCAAATGGAGTATAAGCAATTTAGGTCCAATAGTAATTCATAATTTCTACAAAGGTTATGAACATATTATTTGCTCAGCGGTCTCAGAAACATCATTATGCAGCTTATGGAAATGTCAGTCTTATTACTGTAAACTTTTCTGCCCTTCATATGTTACAGCTGGAAAAAAATATTTTGCCTGCAGCAAATATCCTTATCTTCCTTTCATACCCACAGCAATGAAAGCTGTGTACTGACAACTGGCTTCTGATCCATACCAGTGGATACAAAGTCACTTATGCCAACCCTGCTTTCTAACAATCTTGAGGACAGCGTTCTTATTTACAGACTACACAGTAAGTTATGAAACTATCAGCCCAAATGAGGAAGGTTATTGCTCTTTTTAAGCTCTTATGAGACTCTCTAACAATAGTAATAATAATAATAACAATAATAATAATTTTTAAAAACCCCAGAGAATATCATCACTGGTAACACAAATGTCTTCAGAGTGCTTCAGAGGTCAATGCGTTGGAAAAGAGAGAAAAGACCAAGCTCTGTTTCAAGTGCTTAAAATAGAAACTCAGTATGGAGTATCACAGAAAAGTGATACAAGTGAGAAAAGTCAACCTTCTAATGAAAATGTGTAAAATACAGAAAAGCCATAAAATACTCACTGGCATAGGGAGAATTGGCAGCAGATCCATTCAGGAAGGTTGGAGAACCGCCTAAATTTGACATTCCAGCATTCCCATAGCCGTTCATGCTTGTTGTGACAGAGTTATAATTTGTCTGCTGAGGGGTGGTGCTTGGCACATAGCCATGAGGTGACACGCTGCTTGAGTTGCGAGTAAAACCTTTTGTGGGGAGGGAATATATTTAAAAATTGGTATTAGCCCGAAAACAGTTTCTTACACAAACAGCTGCAAGCAACTAACTCTGGGCTACCAAGCCAGCAGGCTTGTCCAGCCATGGTGCCCATGGGGAGGACCAGGACTGACCACTACTACCACCAGGTAACCCAAATTGTAAACCCTCACTGCCTAGGTCATTGCTGGTGGGAGTAGGAAGTGGGAGGAGGGAGGCTGCAGCCTTCACAGCTCCTCAGGTGACCCAAGCAAAGATTACCCAGGTATTACAGGCACACTCACTCTAAAAGAGCTGTTTGTAGGAACTGGAGTGAACGTGACCTACATTTTCAAAGTGAGGAGTACATACCGACTTAAGGTATGTTAAAAGCATGTGATTTTTGTTAGCTCTCTCCTGATGTCACTCTAGTTTAACACATCTCAAATTAGATGCCTGCTACACACTTCAGAAAACATACATTTGTTGAAGTAGTGGGATATCCTGAGTCTTTTTTGCCCTAGTCTACTCATTCTGTTTGTAGAAAATTACTGGCACTAAGTCAAAATTTGAATCTCTGCCTAATTCTGCAAATGACATTTGGGGAAACTCATATCCAAAAAGGAAGATATTTGTCTAGAAGCACAGCAATGCAAAATGCTCTTTGCTCCTAGAAGAAAAAATGCCAACTTTTCTTCCTACCACACGGTATAGACATAAAATATTTTAATCTGAAAATAATTTCTATTGATTTAGTGTAATGCAAAATAATTTTGTCTGCCCTTCTAGAAAACAGCCTCATTTGAATACTTTCTCATTAAAGTGGAGTTTTAAATTGGGTGATAGAGCTGAGAAAAGGAGAGGAAAAAATGTAAACTGTTTTTACAAAAATGTTCTTTTTTATAACTATAAGAATTAAAACTATTAATTTTATACAAAGTGAAAAACACTTTCAAAATTAGAGAAGCTCTAAAATATCTTTGTAAATATTTCTAATTTTTGCTAGTTTCAAAACTCTGAAACTCTGAAAAAAGTCAGTGCCAATATTATGGCCCTTGGAAAATCAAACAGGCAAATATTCAAGGAATACTTTTGTGATGTAAAGAAATGCCACACAGGGCCCAGATTCAGAGGTCATCCGTGCTCAAGAAAATATATAAGCAAGTACCTAACATTAAGTACGTGCTCAAGTTAATAGAAATTCTTTTAAGATTTGTGGGATTTAAACACAAACACAAGTGTTATTCTGAGCAGAAAGAAAAGCTATTTAGAGATATACAGAAGTGCTTTCCCCAAACTGGGGTGAAAGTCACTAAAGAAAGCCACATCTCATGGTGGTATGCATGCAGGTGGGATGGCGTCTGCCTAGACATGCTCCAAGCCTTCAGTTTTGAAGCATCACTCTTCCACTGCTCTGCACATTTCCCTCACTTTTATGAGAAAAGGTTCATAGAGAGAGGAAGACGAATCTTCTCCTGACCCTGATTGGTGGCTTGTGAGGCTTCGGAAACATTGACAGCTAGTTGACCACTAAAGGAGTTGACTCCCATCATTCCTGCGTGGACTGAGGTGTTAGCAAGGGCGGGGAGCTGGTTGTGATTGCGGGGGACACTGTAGAGTGCTTCTGCGATGTCTGCTGCTCTCTTCAGGATTATTTCCTAGAGGATAAGAAGGGAAAAAATTAATAAAAGAGTTACCGATGTGACTCTGACAATCCTTTTCTTACACACTAAAATGAAACGTTTCCCTGTCCAAAGGCAAAAACTAGAGTCTTTTTTATTTCCTAAACCAGTGGGCTGACTGATAGCTAATGCTTTTGAGATCTGCTGCCTTTGTGATAAATCATGACATCTGTGGTAAGAGAGTTGGAAGTTTCAGTCCCAGTGGCCACGCTTCTGTATATTACGACCAACTGGCAGAATGGGGCTGGAGCCTAAACTCATTCCACCTTAAAGCTATCTTGAGGGTAGGATTGAAAAATCACTGGTGGCAAGACATAATGCATATAATTGCCCATATTATATAGTATCTGGTGAAATAACACGTTGCTTTTACAAGCACTAAATTCACACCCTTTAAAAAAAGGAAACAAGCAAACTAAACCCCACTACAGATACGCCATTGCCCTCTGTATTTATTCCTGTCTGATACTGTAGTATCCTATACCTTTAGCCACTGATCTATCTATACATCTAAGAAAAGCCATGTTTAGAATTGCTGAGGTAGAATGCATTTACCTGGTTATTATGTGGCATACCATAGAGTGCTTCTACTAAATCAGCAGCCCTCTTCAGTATTACTTCCTGTCAATATAAAAACAGAAGTATTCCTCTGAGTTCAATAAAATCCTTGTGGGGAAAACAAATAGTACAAATGCTGATACTCTTCTATTAGTTGCACTGGTTTGTGGAAGGTTTTTCCCCTACCAGGAACAACTTAATTGTAACAACTCTCAGCAACAACTGTATGCTGTTAAATCACTAGTTCATCCTATTCACACACATGCTTAATCAAGTCAAAAGGTGAGAATCATTGGTGCTGCAAAATAAAATACATCATTCAATTGTCTCTACCATCTGCACTATAAACCACTCATCGCTTTATTGCAGAATACAATCCTGAGGTCATTTACTAGATTACTGCAATCAATGTCATTCAGAGCATGTTATGAATCCCTTCAACATGTTTATTTTATTCTTAATTGCATACTGCAGGAATTGTGACCTTACCCAGCAGGCCACATTCAGAAGATATCCACTCAGTCCTACGCTACTGGTAATGTGAGCTTTCGACTTCACTGGTTCGGTTCCTGATATGATGGGTCAGAGTAGGATACATGTACGTAAAATGATGCAAAAGAGGAAAACACATGCAGGAGGGAATGGCCCAGTATGGTGCAGTGTTTCCTGGAAAAAAATCCCTGCATGGAGAGCAGAACTTAAAATAGTCTAGGCTGTAGTTTTCCATTTGGGGTAAATCTTCTTTTCTCCATCTTCCTATTTGTTCCTTTGCACTTCATTGCACTTCGTATTTCTTGGAGTATTTTAAACTGGCATTCAAGTAATAGTAGCATTTCCTGTGTTCTTATGTTTTACAGTGTGGAAACATCTCTATTAACAATCCTGATAGAAAATCTAAAAATGCATTGCAGAATTAACACAGATTTATTTTTTTTCCTTGCTCTTTTAAAGCATCTACCAGATTCCCAACTGCCTGATAAAAAAAAATGGTTGAGGCTGTCCTTTGAGTAAAACAATTCTGTAACTCCCAGCCCCTAAGTATTGCTCTAATCTACTAACATGATGTTATTCACCATGGTATATTTCTGCAGGTAGCTTATAAAAATAGTACCAGCTCTAACAATTTTACAGTTTTCTACGAAGTTAAACTTTTAAACTTAAAATATTTTACACAAGAGCGTATTTTATACCAAAAAGAAACAGTAATGCTCAATTTTCATATACTGTAGACTCTGATCAGAAAATAGAGATATAATTGCATTCATTTTGCTGTCACCATAACCTCTTCAAAAATCCTTGAACAACTCTTCAAATGACAAGCTTTTAGATGCATATTAGCATTTTTTTCAATTTTAAATTCTCTATAATATAAGATAAAATAGTTGTCATACTGCAGTAACTACTTATGACATACATAATGTCCTAAATTCAAAAATGAGATGGAGGATTCTTGTAGTCCCAGTAAACATTTAGGCTTGCCTTCTGCTGCACACACCCCTCTCTCAGAACAAACATTTAAATTATTCTCCACATGTGAAGTGAGATGTAATATATAATTGATGGATTTTTAAATCACTATATTTGAAACAGATTCTGAGGAGTTAAGTTGCAATGGTCTTTTTCTGTATTTTTTTTTTGGGTTTTTTTTGGTTTTTTTTTGGGGGGGGGGGGGTTGTTTGTTCTGTTGGGTTTTTTTTTGTGTGTGTGTGTTTTTTCTTTCTGTGGTGGTTGCTGCTTTGGGTTTTTTTTTTGTGTATCTTGACCACAACAGTTAGCAGTATAATCATGGACAGAGAGACTACAAACAACATCCAGGTATCCTCAAGCCTTGTTGCTTTACCAGAATCATCAGGACACTGAGTTGCCCTTTCTGCCTCATACTGAAGATTCAAACTAGAGAAGAACAGAGATGTTACTGAAAAATGTTATCTTTTTCAGTGCATGATTTTAGGTGGAAAATTACTGCACAGGTGTTTGACTTTGCAAACTACGATTTATTTCACTTCAGTAGAAATTGTTAGCTCTATATATTTCACTGATGGAAAATTAGAATGTGATACAGAGCCCACAAACTGCTTTTGAATATTGTTAACCTAAGCTGTCATTATGCCAAATTACTAAAAAAAGAAGAAAGTTTAAATAGTCATTTCTGCTCTACCTGACTAATCATTGTTATTTATATAATGCTGAGCTAAAAACCTTAGAATGCACCTAAAAAGAGACTGAAGATCATGTTAAAAAATGAGGTAATTACATGGACTCTTATAGCTGCTCTACCTAATATCAAATATAATCGAGTTCTTAGACACTGGAAGTTCTTTGATGATATATCATATTGCATGTAAGTAAAACTAATTGTCACAATGGTTTATTGAAATATACATGACAAGTAGCTTTCAATTTTCCTAGATAGTCAATGGTTATATTTTTTTCCCACATTTTCAGAATCTTTAAATTTAAGTTTCATACTTTCTTTAACAGTATTTTCACACAATAAAAGCATTTCTTGTTTACGACATTTTCAGATCATACAAAGTAGATGTTACACAAAACCTCCTGTGTCAAATAGTGGTATCTTCTGTTCCAGAGCTGATGGTAGTTCCTACAGCCACAAACTAGCTTCAAAAATAGGTAGTAAAATGCTACTACAGACACGGTCAAGATATTAACTTCTTGTTTTCTGAATGCATCTTAAACCCATTGCAGCTCTGCTTAAATTACCGAAGAAGCTAGTGGTACGACTCCAGATACAAAGGAGCCCCAAAAGTCCTCTATAAGTTAGAGCAACAGACCTTGCAAGGTGCTTGGATTGCGGTGACCAGAAAATTGTTCTCACCTCCATGTCATTACGCTCACAGTGAAGCAGCCCCCGAGCATGTTTGTGTTCGGGATCTAATATATTGCCTTTCAATCAGAGCTGAGAGCCACTGAACACATAGACAGAACATGACGAGCAGGTCAGGAAAGCAATAAAGATTTTACAGAGCTGTCCAAGGTGCTAAATTTACTCAATAATGGGTTTGGCACCATAGTGTTAACCTCTCATTTACTACCAGTTTGAGGGACTAAATTGAAGTAGCTGACTTCATTTACCTTGAAATGTATATTTTATGACATTATGTAAGTAGATTGAAAGGGCACTGCAGTTTTAACAATTTAAAGGCTAGAGCATGTTTAAGATGAGGCTCGAATATTTATTGTATATTGCACTTAAACTATATTGTATATTAAAATGCATTGATTAAATTTGTAAAAGGTATTATAAAAAAGGACAGCTAATATAAAAGATCTATGTCTTTTAAAATCCAATTGATACTGCATGTTACCACTGCAATGGTGATAGATAAACAGATAGATAGGTGGACAGAGTAGCAGACAGACGTATCAAAAATTGAGTGAAACTCACATTCTATAAAAAGAAATCTCTTCATAAGCTCAAGGTCTGCTAGTCCAGCTATTCTTTTGTTCACAGAAATTTTTCTTTGCCTTCATCTTGGAAGCCTAGGTTTTCATAGCAGTAAGTGGGCATCATGTAAGGTCCTTCCAATTGAATATGCAAGTTGAAATATTTCCTGAGAGAGACAGAGTTTTACTAAAGCTAATATCTAATTTATGGGGGCATTTGTCAAGAAAGATCCACTCTTCTATTAATGCTAAAAGTCTGACAGCTTTTGGTTCAGAATAAAGGACTGTGCAGCATTTAGTTACAGCTGAAGTGAGGATCTTCTTGTCTTGTGTTTTATTTCAAATGAGCACCATTTTATTTCTATAAAAATAACAGTTGAGCAAATATTGAAAAGAGGAAAAATTACTTTAGTGATTAAATACGATGCATCAGAACTTTGCCCTCCATACAGCTACACACCATAGATCCAGAGTCCATTTTTATTCTAAACTGAAGCTGATTTTCTGCTAAGATATTTTTACTTTTTTAATATTTGAAGCAGGACGGCAATTAAAAATTGAATCAATTTTTCCGCTTGAAAATACTAAGAGGTGTTTACATAAGCAAAAGAGAAAGGTGGGTAGTGAAGTCTGCTGCAACTTTGCATATTCCAAAATACCTGTAGGACAGCTTATATAAATCATATCAGAATGACTATGCTTTTGAAGCACAAAGACAAATTCAGACTGAATCCACTACCAACTAAACATACCTTGAACCAACACTACAGCAACTTCTTGTGTTTTGTCTGTGGCATGCATTCCCTTCAGAAGGAATTCATTAAGAGCATGAAACTTCTATTTTGAGTTTTACCCTGACAAAAATATTTTGTGTCAAGTTTTTTCACAATAAACACATTTTGTGCCTGCTTTAAAAAGGATGGGATATTTCTTCTGTTGACATCTGCTTACTTTTTATTTAGCAACTAGTGAAAAAAATTCACTCTGTGTCCCAAAAGGGCTGTGAGTCTAGTCACATAAAGAGCATCTAGAGTTACACCAAGTTCTTCAGCTTAAGTCACTAAATTAGATAATGTTCAAGGTACTTGTTAAATCTAAATGAATTTTGTCAAGAAGCAGCTGACCACAATATATAATATTCATCAGCCACATACTGTATTGTTGAGACCACCAAAGGATTTATGTACTTGTGGAGGGCGTGGGGGAGAAGCTGTTCTAGCACACTCGGAGGCATTTATCTTATGTGTTGTCTAGATATCATATCACCTTCTAATGCTCTTTAGCATTGTAATACAAGAGAGAGCTCATTCATCTTCTGAGAGGGTACTTAGGGATGATGATGTCATTCATACTTCCTTGACTCTTATGTCTGACCCCCTGGCTCTGCCTTCTAACTTCCTACTCTCATGGCTACTTGCACGAAAAAAAACCTCTTTTGCAGAGTCAAAATGCTGAACATCAGACTCCAGTTCCTTTCTTCACCTTGGAAAGGTCACACTCTGAATCTTCAAGTCAAAATTGCAATAATTTGTGCTCAAACTTTTCCTTTGTTTTAAATGGTGGAACTATAAATGTGTTAGTTAAGGATATGTGTTGAAAATAAATTTTAAACTTATACTTAAAATTTGTGTGTGCATTATATTTTAAAAGGTAAAGAT